CAACAACCTCATATATAAAAAGAAGTAAAATTATACACGTTTAATTAATTTATTTATAATTTATATATAATATTATTATAAAAACCCTTAACTTTAAAGCTATAACTTAAGAGTTTATAAGTTAATTATTAAATTACCTTATTATTAAAAAAGCTTATTTATTATATAAAGAACACTTTATATTATATAACTTTATATAAAAAGCTTAAATATCTCTTTATAAAGATTAAAGAGAGATATTATAGCTAATATACGTAAAAAACCTTAAGAAAAAAGCTAATATTAAAAGATATAAATATTAATAGTTTATTACTCTTATATAAAAAATTAATTATTAAGGTAATTAAAAATCTATTAATAAGTAAATCCTTTATTTAAAAGAGCGTAAACCTTCTCTTATATATATTTTAGGTCTCTTTATAGTAATAGTATTACTCGTATACAGGTAATTTACTTAAAATGCTAAAAATCGCTTAAACCGCTTAAACCGCTAAAATCGCTTAAAATACTAGATGTGGGGTTGTGGCAGCAACTGCGGACCTTAGCTAATGTGCGACCGTAGACTGCCGGAAATGAGCCGGTGCATCTCGCTCGTGACGTTGTAAGTGGCTGGTGAAGGATGGCCCCGCAACGGAGGGTCCCCGGACGGAACCGTCATCAACATGGCCTTCGTTGGAGAGGTTCATGTCGTAGCTACCAAAAAAGCATCCCATTACAATCGTACTCAGCCGCGACAAAGCCGTCGCCAGATTCAGCTGCCATTGGGACTGGTGATTGATGCCCGCGGCGCAATGACGGCCGAGGGTCCGGAAGTTGCACGTCGGAGTGGAGAAAAAACCACGTATCAATTCAACTAGCGCCGGGTCGCGGCCCAGGCCGGTCCGTCTAATCGTCTATGTAAAGGTCGCACCGTTGATGTTGGATCGTCACCCACTCACGACCGCGCCGCTTGCTTGGGCTTAGTAAGTTGGTCGTCTCACGATGACACTTGCTCCCAGCCGTGAACGGGATTCAGGCAGTACCACAAGCCGGGCACAACCTTGCCGTCACACTCAGCAATGGACCCGAGTGAGGGATTAATCTTGAGGAACAGATCCATCGGCATGGCACGCTTGGCGAGCAGACTGGGGCAGCTGACCCCCTTCTCGGCCTGGATATACCTGCCGCAATTCTTGGTCGTCCCCTCAGCCACCTGGGCTCCCTCAGGCGCGGGGACTACATGGCTGGCGTAACCGTCACCAGAGCCTCCCTCGCCGCCAATGTCGCCGTTGCCAGGAGTCGTGCCTCCGGAGCCAGGGTCGGTGTACTCGCCGCCGGGCTGGCTAACGCAGATGACCCGTCCCCAGAAGGGGTCAGTGCCGTAAATGTTGCGGCAGTTATCCTTGAGCGCCAGATTCCACTTGACCAGCTTGGCCCACGACGTGCCGTGCTGTACGCCAATCACCACGCAGTCTTCGTCCTTGTTTTTGACTGTGTATAGTTCGCTGCACTTCTCCGGCAGGCAGAGCTGCAGGCCTGCGGGCACACTGCTGCAGTTGAGCAGGTCAGGGTTGAGGAAGAAGAGAGATGCTGCCGATACAGAGTTTGCCAGGGCGATACTGTCACAGGTGTCGCCGTCGCGCGTCTTGTACGTCTGCTTGCTGCTGCACTCGCTGGGTTTGGTGACGTTGACGTTGATGGGCGGCGGAAGCGTATCGGTTGGTCCCTTGACATTGCAGCCTATCATGTGTCAGCATTCGTGATTTGGACTTGGTGGTACTAGGTGTCCTCACGCTTATTGACGGTTTCAAGTGTCTGAGCAAAGAGCTCATCGTACGAAGAGTAGGGCGACTGCTGCATCATGCGCAACTTGGCTCCGTAACAATAGGAGCACAGCTGCGCGTTTGGCATGGCTTCGAGGCTCTCGTAATCCTCAAAAGCATCGATAATGTCTGTAAAGTGCATGTTAGCTGGCAGCAAGATGCCAGGGCTACTATGACGGCGCACTCACCATTGCAGTACTTTCCCGTGTCCTTGTCCTTGAGGCATGTCTCGTTCCAGCCGGCAATGGTGGTTTCGATGAGTGTCGCGACCGGGTATCCGGGCATCAGATCAGGTGTTGAAGCGCAGACGGCGGCGAGGCGTCTCCTGGCGTTGAGCAGAGATCTCTCGCATGTGGCCTGGCAGACGCTGTCGGTCAGTGCTGAGGAGTCGAGAGAACCGCGGTAGCCCCTCTCCCGAAAGTTGGCGACGTATTCATCGCACTGAATCGTCTGCTGGAGAACCTGCTGGCAGTTGGAGTTGAGTGTAGAGCCTTCCAGCTGCTTGCTGGTGACGAGCTGGAACCCGGTAGCACGGCTCTCGAGCAGGGCAGTCGTAAGGGGTGTAAAGCCACCCAGGAGGGACGACAAAAGTAAAAGATTCTTCATCATGAACATGTAGAGCTTGGCCAAGTCAATGTGAAGATGCAGGTTTGTAACCGGCTGCTCCCTAATCTCTCGACAGGTGTAGCTCAGTTGTTATGTGGGCAGCTGTATCTTGATGGAGAGCTGCAACTCCCCTCGGGATGGTAGTACTTGGGCCCTTCTTTTGGTCCTATCATATAATTCTCCGGTTGTTCCAGTCTTTTTCCGACGGCCTCTATAAGTACAAGAGCCATGGAGCCATTGTATGCAGGCTGCAGAACCAAGGACCCTCAGCGGAGCAAGGATCCTGAACAGGTTCATTTGCCGTAGAGTTGAGTTCCTTGTCCATGATCAAGTTACAAATTAGTACTTGTAGAAAGACGTATTGCTCGTATCCACACGTTTATGGACCAGCAGAAGCTCAAGGGTGTCGCGACGAACAAGGGTATAATAGATAGAAGCCCTTTCCTGTCCTCGCTCTATTCGTGCCACCCAACGTCTCATTTGATACGGCCAGGTACATATGTTTTTTTCCCGCATGGCCAAAATCTTCTTTCTTTAACCATTACACTCCTATTTTTTTTCGGGCAATACGAACCATGAAGGCGCTTGTGACCTTCACAGTGTTCCTGAGCGCCCTCGTCCGACTCTCCGTACAGCAAGATGGCCAGTGCAGCGCTACCAAGCTCTGCCCTGCAGGATGTTGTAGCAGCGCAGGTTATTGTGGTTACGGACCCGACTATTGCGGGTAAGTATATCCGATTCAGTCTGTTTATACACGTCGCGCGTGCAAGCACATCGTTGCTGTCAACTTTGTCGACTAACACACTATCTCAGCAAGGGATGCCAGAGCACCTGCGGTCGCAAGTCTGACTGCAACCCCGGTTGGGACAGCGGCGACTTTAGCAAAAAGGATAAATGCCCCCTCAATGTCTGTTGCAGCAAGCACGGCTTCTGCGGCTATACAGACGAGTTTTGCGAGGGAAATGAGGTCAAACGGCCCTCGTGCTCCGTCAGCGACACATCTGTAGACCGAGTCATCGGCTACTATGAGGGCTGGGCAACTTCCAACCGCGGCTGTAATGCCTTGCGACCGGAAGATATTCCCTACGGCGCTTATACCCATCTCATCTTCAGCTTCGCCACTATTAACCCAAAGACATTCGAGGTCTCGCCCGGCAACTATAAGACTGAGGATATGATGGAGAGAATCGGCACCATGAAGCTCCTCTAACCTGACCTTAAGATCTGGGTTGCCATAGGCGGCTGGGCGTTTAACGACCCAGGACCAACCCAGACAACCTTTAGCGACGTGGCTGCCTCTAAGGCCAACACTAACACGTTTCTCAGCTCGCTCGTCAAGTTAATGGATAAGTTTAACTTTGATGGCGTGGATATTGATTGGGAATATCCAGTCGCGCCCGACCGGCACGGCCGCGGTGAGGACTATGAGAATATTGTCACTTTTATGAAGAAGCTCCGCGAACGTATGGACAAGTCCCGCAGAGGCGTGTCCATGGCTCTCCCCGCCAGCTACTGGTACCTCCAGCACTTTAACGTTGTTAAGCTTGAGGAGCATGTCGACTGGTTTAACCTCATGACGTACGATATGCACGGTGCCTGGGATATCGATAATAAGTGGACTGGTCCCTGGGCGAACTCGCACACTAATCTGACCGAGATTCAGCTTGGCTTGGATCTTCTATGGCGCAATGACATTAGTCCTAGCAAAGTAACCATGGGCATGTCCTACTATGCTCGTACCTTTACCCTTACAGACCCCGGCTGCAACAAGCCCGGCTGCCGCGTTAGCTCACCTGGCGACGCGGGCAAATGCTCTGGCACGGCCGGTGTGTTGCTCCACCCCGAAATCCAGGAGATAATCTCCAAGAACAATTTAAAGCCTGTACTCGACCGGGAAGCTGCCGTCAAGACTGTCTCATGGGGCAACCAGTGGACCTCTTTTGACGATGTCGCGACTTGGCGCCTTAAGGCTAATAAGCTGCGCGGCCAGTGCATCACGGGCTTCATGGTATGGGCCATCAGCCAGGATGACGAGTTTGGCACCAATGCCAAGGCTCTGGCTGCTGTTCTAGGTCGTAAAAAGCTCGAGTTTCCCAATTTTGCTGTCCGCGCCAAGGTGGAAGATAGTCCCGATCTTGAGTCCAAGACGTGCCGTTGGACAAGCTGCTATGAGGGCTGCCCGTCTGGCTTTAAAGAGGTCCAGCGCGACGGCCACAAGGAGATTATGCTGGACACAACACCCTGCTTTGGCAAGGGTCACGGTTTTAGTCGTCTTTGCTGCCCGACGAGTTTCAAGTCTCCCACGTGTACCTGGCGTGGCCATAGAAATACTGGCAAATGCAAACCTGGCTGCAACGATTTTGAGCTTGAAGTCGGCTCACTGGATGTGGGTTGCCGCTCGGGATACCAATCAGCTTGCTGCAGCGATACCTTGGTCACGTCTCTGTACAGCAGATGCGTCTGGACCGAGTGCACCAGCAAGGGTAAGGATGCGTGTACGGGCAATAACCCGCATTTCCTCACTTCGAGCAGCATCGGCTCTGGCGGTATGAAGTCGTGCGACAAGGGCCAGAAGAGAAGTCTCTGCTGCGTATCCCCGCCACCTTATGATGTTTCTGTAAATGCGAGTGGCGAAAGAAGGCCGGGTTTCTCAACGCGGGCAATGAAAAACTCCTCTGCGAAGGGGCGTGCTCGTCGGACCAGCTGATGTTGGCCCGAGAAAGCGGTCTCACCATTGGTAGTGAAGGCGGCGATGGCTGCTACGGTGATCTCGCCTTTTGCTGCACTGAACCCAAGAAGCTGAAGCCTCGCGATGAAGACCCTGGCTCGTCAGAGGGCCGCGAGTTCCAAGCTCTGATCCGCAAGTACATGGAGAACCCGACCTGTCCCGCTACCATTCTCTTCCCGACGGTTCATGACAAATTCACTCGTAAGCGTTCCCTAGAGTTCGAGGCAGCCGAATTCAACGTGCTGCACGCCAGGGCCAAGGATTGTACCCTAGATACCTGGGTCCGGCTGCTTCAATACGCGACGCTCGTGTTCTCGGTCAGCCGCGCCGGCATGGATCCCCTCGTCAAGGTATGGGATAAGGAGTTTGCCGGATACTATGATAAACAACTAGAGTATCAGAACCTCCACGCCTTTTTGGGCAAGTATAGAGACTATGAGCCTCGCAGTGTTGTCGAGTGGGTGCTCTACAACCCAACTCAAGCCGGACCCGGCATCAAGGGTGCGAATGCGGCCAGCCAGGCACTATGCCGAGTTCCTGGTTCGAGCACCCGTAGTGTGCCCGAGTCCGCCCTCTCTGATATTAAGAGCAGAAAGGTCGACGCGTGGAGGACCGGGCGAGGTAGCATTCCTGCCCTAGATACGATCCTAAGCGCCATCATTAGCGGAGCAGTCACACTGCACTATGCCCGCTGGCAATACTATCGCAGCTCTCAAAATGGAAACGTCCCGGGGCCTATGCTTGAAATGGCGTACTGGCTTGGCAGTCAGCCTGGCCGTGAGAATAACGAAGACGTTACGCAATATCAAGATCGGACGCCGCGACCAAACTGGCCGTCAGATCAGTGGGTTCGTAAGTTGAGGATATTTCTATCCCTTTTATGGTTTTTGCCCCCGTACTAATTTTCCCCCCAAAAGTCTTCCACCCTCACATCGATCCATCCAACCGAAACTGGCTGATCAACGAAAACGGAAACACGTATGTCGGTGTCAGGGACTTTCGTGTCATGCACGGCCAGTACTGGATGCACGGAAGCCCCGGCCAAGCGTGGCGTGTATCTCGCAGCAACGGCCGATACAACTCCCGTGACGGATTCTCATGTGAGGAAGAGCTCGGTAGCCTTTGGTATGTCGGGTCCAGAATAACGCTCCCGAACAACGAGCCGGAGTGGGCAAGACTGCTTCATCAATGGGGTGAGATGATCCATCGTCAGGGGTATGTCGGCAACCGCGGCCTGAGAATGATCATTGAGCCGCCACAGGGTGGAAGCAGCACCGAAGTTGACCCTCATAACCCGGGGACCCTGTCTCGTGGGTATATGGGCACAACGGTGGTCGGGGGAAATAACCCATACGATATCAACTTCCTGTTGTCGGAGCAAGGATATGAATTTTCTACTCCTCCTCCCCCGAAAGACCGTGAAGATCCAGACACTCCGGCAGACCAGCCTGAGTGGTAGGCAGGAAGTGTAGGAGAAGGGAGCTCGCACAGAGTTTAACTGTAGACTAGACATGTCGAAGCTGTACAGCGTCAATCATAGAAAAGTTTTCCCTTGAATCTAGCCTCATCTGTTCCCTGTATGGCCCGCTGTTGCTTTTGCGAGTGCTCTACACTAGACTTTGTAGCATCAATTAAAATCTGCGTCAGCTTTGCACGTAATTCTGCCTGCGTCTGTAGAACTGGAGAGCTGTTGACCAGATCAGCTGGCAGATTGTTCTTCTCATCAACAGCATTCACGTCCGCTCCGTTTTCCAGAAGGACACTCGCCAGGCCAACAGCGCCGTAGAACACGGCCCAGTGCAGCGGTGTTCTATCTTTTATAATCACAGGCGACTCGTTGCTGTTGGGCTGAAGATGTTCAACGACGCGGGAGCCCCAGATGCCAACCTCCCGATTAGACACACGAAGTGATTTGCGACCAGAGGTTGTGGGAATAGCCAACATGGTAGCCCGAGCATCAACTGGTATACCCTTCATAATAAATTCCTTGGCAAGTTCTCCCAACTCGTTGTTGCCGTCGCTGTCGTCCAGATAAAGCGACAAGCAGTGCAGCGGCGTCCAACCCTCGGCTGTGAATGCGAGGGGATCGGCTCCATGGTCCAGGAGAAGTCTTGCCGCCTGCAGTGTTTTGTAATAGCGTGGCATAGAGGTCTCTATTGCGGTTGACGGGGCTAGGGCACACATTAAGGGGGTCCAGCCGTTGTCGTTGGCAGCATTGACATCCACACCGGACAATAATAGAAACCGCAAGGTGTCAATCTTTTTGCCAGCAGCCGCCCAATGAAGAAGTGTCTCCCCGCTATAGTTCTTAATGGATTTTAAGGCGTCACTGTGTGAATTGTCGACATCTAGGCCAGTGGTATAGAGGCGGAAAATGCGCATATTAGATCCAAACGCAGCGTAGTGCAGTGGCGTGTTGCCAAGGTCATCCTGGATTACGACGGACGCACCGTGTTTTAATAACAATCGAATCCCAGTTTCGTGTAAGCAGCGCTTGGGGCCTTTCTTAATATGCACCGGTGACCCTAGGTAATGAAGGGCGGTTTCGCGTTCATGGCCCCGTTGGTTAGGGTCAGCGCCGTTTTCCAGGAGTGCCTTGAGAGCTCCTACCAAGTCCACCCACGTGGCCGCTTTGATGACTATATTTTCCTCCTCGTGGTTGCTGTTTGGATCGGCCCCTGCACCGACAAGGCAGCTGATGAGCTGTTGCTGGCCCATATAATCCAAACCAGTGCATTCTGCACGAGGATGGCCGAGCAGGTCCGACCTGAAGTCGGCCGCCCGGCAGAGAGATGAGCTGATGCATAGCGGCGAGTAATCGAAGCGGTCCAAAAGAAGCCGAACGACTTCAACGTGCCATCCCGACACCGCGTTCTCGAGGGCGTGCTCCAAGGCAGCTTCCGACCAGCCACCAGCCCAACCCAAGACATCCTCGACCATGGCGGCCTGACCATTGAGGGCTGTTCGGTCTAGAAGGATGCGATAGCGCTGTTGCGAAATTTTATCGATTCCCAAGGCCATCTTTTCACAAATACGGGTGAACATATCACGGTTGCCCGTTTGAATTGCCATGTCAAGCGCCGAAGTTTGCGGCTCAGTAGAACCATTGAAAGCCCAAGGGTTGGCGCCGGCATCAAGGAGGAGGCCTGCCGCCGTCATGTTAACGCATAATACAGCGACTTGAAGAGCAGAGCCGAAGTCTGGGTCACAGTAGTTGAGATCAAGCTCGCCGGTCCCGCGGAGAGGGAGGAGCTCTCGCAGCTTGGATATGTCGTTGTCGCGGACGCAGGCGTGCAGACGTGCTTCTGGGTCGTCATTGAATGCAGCTTTCATTTGCATCCAGAGGCGTCCATCCATACCTGGCGGTACGGGCCGCGTTGTTGAGGGTGGAGGCGGAATTGTTGTTTACGGATGATGAAGTTGAGCATCTACCGCGCCGATTTGCAGTTACCACGTGTTGGATCACGTGCCACACAGAATTTCCTCCCTTACCTCAGCAGTGAATTGCTTGGGGTGCGTTTTGCCCCACTTCACCCACTTTTTTACGGTGAGGCCTGCTACCACACCCTATAGTATATTTTTAGTATAAACGTATGGTAGCTTTACTTAACACTAAAAAGCTCTAACGAAAATTAATGGATTTTTTAATAAGGCTATAGCCATACGATTTTTTTAATGGTAGCAGCGTTTTTTCTTCTTTAACACTATAATTAATATTATAATAGCTGAAAATCCGGAAAATCCGCCCCTAAATTTACCGCTATTACTAGGTTATAGTAGCTTTAATAACCTTTTTAATGCTATATAGCTATTTGGTCGCTAAAATAAAGTTAAATTTAAAAAAAGGTCTATAAATTTAGACATTATTAATAGCATTTAATAGCCTTATTAGGGCTAGCTTAATTGTAATTACGGTAGGCAGTAAAGGCCGCCTTAAGGAGCTGGAATCTAATAGACTCGCTCACGAAAAACCAACTACGTTTACTAGCTTAAGGTAATATTTGTTAATTAATTCGGTTATTAGGTATAGTACTATAAGAAGTAAGGCCGTTATAATTACGATAAATCTAGCGATACCTTCGTATATCTAATATATTATTAATTTACAGAGCAATAAAAATAATAAATATTACGTCTTTTAAAGCATTAAAGCCTATTAGCTTAAGGTATTAGCTTAATTATTTAAGTTAATAAAGAAGAAGAGCTTTATTTTCGTTTAAAAGACATTTATAATTAACGTTAAAGAGCTTATTAAGTAGATTTAACTAGTTACATATCCACCTAATAGTTCGTTAAGGTCCTTAAAGAAAAAGGCCTGCCTTATAGGATTAAATTTAACGATAAATATCGTATTAAAAGCGCTATTTAGCATGAAATTAAGCGCTACTAATAGCTATAAAAGCCTTTAATATATCCCTAATATAATTCTTTACTTATTATAATAGAAATTATAGCTAACTTTAACCTTAAGAATTTATAACGCTAATATCTTTATATTCGTGATTTTACCCCTATTTTAACTTACTAATAGTAAGCTATAATAAATGGTAAAGATACTTAACACTAATCTTTAAGCTAAAATAATAGTTAATAGCTAATTAAAAGACCTTAATTAAGCTAATAAGGCTAAAGGCCGCCTACCCTAAGCATTTAAAGAGACCATACGCAGGCGGAAATTAATATCGCTACCGGGAATTAACGCTACGTAAGGTAGGCAGCCCAGTTATTACAGCGATTAAATAATAATAAAAATAACAGGTAAGAAGAACTAATTAAAGGATAGGCCTCTTTTAAGATTAAGGAAATTATTTCTCAGACGCAGCTATTATCGCAGCTAACCTCGCAGCTTTAATAGATAACCCCTTAGGAGCCCGGGTAGCGCTTAAAGAGAGCTTAAAAAAATTAATGGCCCGTAAATGTGTACACATTTATTAAAAACACTAGAAATCGCGTTTTTAAGCGATTTAAAGCCCGCTTAACGCGGCGTTATTAAGAAATTCATGTATTTAATTAATTACTTTAACATTTAATTAAGAGCTATTATAACCATACATTTATACTAAAAATGTACTATGGGGATAGCTGAAAATCCGGAAAATTCGCCCCTAAATTTACCGCTATTACTAGGTTATAGTAGCTTTAATAACCTTTTTAACGCTATATAGCTATTTAGTTGCTAAAATAGAGTTAAATTTAAAAAAAGGTCCATGAATTTAAATATTATTAACGGTATTTAATAGCCTTATTAAAGCTAGCTTAATTGTGATTACAGTGGGTAATAAAGGCCGCCTTAAGGAGCTAAAATCTAATAGACTCGCTCACGAAAAACTAACTACGTTTACTAGCTTAAGGTAATATCTGCTAATTAATTCGGTTATTAGGTATAGTATTATAAGGAGTAAGGCCGTTATAATCACGATAAATCTAGCAATACCTTCATATATTTAATATATCGTTAATTTATAGAGTAATAAAAATAACAGATATCACGCCTTTTAAAGCATTAAAGCCTATTAGCTTAAGGTATTAGCTTAATTATTTAAGTTAATAAAGAAGAAGAGCTTTATTTTCGTTTAAAAGACATTTATAATTAACGTTAAAGAGCTTATTAAGTGGATTTAACTAGTTATATATTTACCTAATAGTTCGTTAAGGTTCTTAAAGAAAAAGGCCTACATGGGGTATGGTAGCGGGCCGGCTAGCTAAATTTAGTTAGTGGTGGGGCAAAACGCACCCCGAGCAAAATGAAAACGCACCCCAAGCAATTCACCCTCAGCAAGCTCAGACCATTTCTACGAGGAGTCTAGCGCCGCCAGTCACGTTACTCGTCTAACTCCTCGAGCAAACGGTCTGAGAAACCCACCACAGGCTCCACTTCTGCTTTTGTGGGGGGAGTTGCAATCAGTAATGCAGCCATTATTGGCACAGGGCTCTAATTTCTGCAGCGGATGCCGAACCTACCACCAGGACAATTAATTCTAGCTTCCGGAGATGGCAGAAACTGCTTCGTTGGGAGAAACTTGAGCTCAGCCAGAACGAGCTCGAATCAACCTCACAGAGGGATGTCCAATTTTCGCCGCATCCCGCTGTTGCTGCTGGAACAGATGACTAGGCCAGAACGGGCTGATCAGGGGACCAGAGCTGGTCTTGTTGCAGACTTTTAAAACGCACTTTTCCCTTGCATTCAGGTTCCTGATATGTTTCTAAGACCAATATGGTTGACATAAGCAATGCCGACGACTCGGCGAGCACTAGGGCCACCGACCCGGTGCCTCTAACTCCCACCGCCCCGGTGGGCAAAAGAGGGGCTTTCTGAAGCTGACCAATAGCGGCGCGAGCCTCCAAATTGGACGTGAGGAACACAACCACTTCCCATCAGCCATCACGACTCCAAAATGGAGCAGTTGCGTCGTTGCTTTTTGCAATGCCGCGATGCGGCATTGAATCATCAACGACTCCGTCTGAAGATTGTATCATGCATAGCTACTTGTTACAGCTTCGCCTCTTCAGCGAAGCCACAAGATAAATAGCTGCATTGTCGCATATGTGCCTACCCTGAATCGCTACCCATCGCATATAAAATTCACATGAAGCATGAGGCAATCGGAATAACCTGTTTCTCAGCATGGAATCATCCAACTGTCTCCAGCCTCTTGATGGACTTCAACTGCATTCCTCTGAATGGCTACATTCTTTGAGGAGGTTGAAATAAACAGGCAGCCCTGCGGTCCATAAATATCTACGTTGGAACTGCATAAGTTAACGGTTTCCTTTGTTCCTTAGATAACTCTCATGCGATACATTTGGCGCCTTCAATGCAGTATGTGATCCTACCATTTTCTGATATAGTCCCTATCGCAGCTATCCACTCTTTTTTTACTATTATATCGCTATTAACACATCATGAGCTCCTTGGAATTGTTATCGCGAACCTGGGCTGACGATTGTCTGCCTCCAGAGAGGGTCTTTCCAAGCCGCGAGGCGTTATATGAAGCTATTAATAAATGGGCCCTGCCGCGAAATTATGCCTTTGTTGTTGGAAGGTCAAGGAAAGACCCGGCTAATGGCCGATGCAGTGTTACTTATGCTTGCGATAGAGGTTGTAAACCACCCGATCCATCGGATAAAAGGAAACGGAAGACGTCAATAAGAGGAACAGAATGCCCTTTTTCCATTATTACAGAGGAGGCCCGTGATTCCTCGTGGCAATTAAAGCATCGCGACCCTAAATATCATCAACATAATCATGAGCCCCGTCTTCATCCATTAGCACATCCAGCACATCGCAAAATGGCTGCTCAAGAGAAGGCCTGTATATCGCAACTTGCAACATCGCGAATTCACCCAAAAGAGATACAGATCTACCTACGAGAGCAGGGAATTCTAAACCTTACAATAAGGCAGGATATTCTTTAGAATCGCATTGCGGAGACACGAAGAGAGATATGTGAGGGCTAAAGTGCAATTCATGCTCTTATTAACCAACTTGAGAAAGAAAGCTTTTGGAGCAGAATTCGCTTTGATGATAAGGGTCGTGTTATGCTAGTACTCTTTGCACATTCACAATCATTAGAATACCTTCAAGCTTATCCCGATGTCGTATTATTGGACTGCACGTATAACACCAATAAATTCAACATGCCGCTTCTTGACATGGTTGGTGTTAATGCTTGTCACGGACTTTTTGCATTGCCTTTGCATTCCTAAGCGGAGAGACTGAGGATGACTATTATTGGGTTCTGGATCGACTGAAATCCATGTACGGGACTATTCATGTTCGACTCCCAGCCGTTATTCTAACAGACAGATGCCTTGCTTGCGTAAATGCAGCAACGAAGGTATTTCCAATAGCAGCCTCTTTATTATGTCTCCGGCATGCGAATAAGGCCGTTCTATCTCACTGCCTTCCTATACTCGCAGCACAGGAGCGGCTTTTATCTAAGCTGTCATCGCGACAACCAACAGATGAGGAACAGTCATTACGATGGAAGGAATTCTATAGTTATTGGCACAACATCATCAATTCGCCAACGAGGCAGCGTTTAATGAAAGGGCCAAGGCCTTTGAAGCGAAATACATCGACAGCCATATTGAGGAGGTTGCATATGTCAAGGAGGTTTGGCTGGAGCCATATAAAGAGAAGCTCGTAATGGCTCGGGTTGATCAAAACACCCACTTTGGCAATGTCGGCACATCTCGCGTTAAAGGCATTCACGGTATTATAAAAGACTATATCGGGACTTCTCCACTGGACCATTTTGAGATATGGCGTTAAATGAAGCACGCTATACTAAACCAACTACAAGAGCTTTCGCATCATCAATCATACCAACAGAATCAGACACCTCCTGAGATTTCCGGAAACCTCTATAGCATCGTGCGAGGTTGGGTTTCATTAGAGGCTATATAAAAGGTTGAAGAACAGCGAAAATTAATAGATGCTGAAAGCTCGCCCCTCTCATGACCTTATACATGCGCATTAGCGATACAAGAGAGGGTCAACCAGTTCACCTTATCAAACTTCAACGGCTTGAGAGATATCGAAAGAGGGCTCCCAGGTACCTATATCAAGCACATAGCAGGAGAAATGTGCCCTAAAAGCCATTAAACCACGCCAGAAGCAAGCCATCAAAGTGTACAGTATGTGGTGTTATTGGACATACTAGGGCCTCAAGACTATGCCCTCAACGATATGAATATCTCAAAGCTAAGCCCTTAAACGTTGAGCCCGAAAGGGATTCCTTACTACATAAAAGACTATCATTGGCCCTTGAATATATTGTACAACAGAAGGTTCCGCGTTCACTGGGTGGTTAAGCCAGTTCCTGCAACAAAAACCACCAAAACAGCAGAGTACCTAGATGCGCGGTTAGCATTGGCTGCATCAATAGCGAAAGAGTAGGCTCACGTTGCTCCAGCCAGAAACAAGTCCCGAGTCCTAGTGTGACTCATCATGGCGAAAAGCATTATCGCCATGGCTGCTGCAAGAACGACCAGGACCAGCCTGAGCGATATGCTTTGTAGCACACTGAGGATAATAACCAGCAGCAAAAGAAGCAGCACAACACCCCAGGCTGCAAGCGCTTGCGCCAGCCTCTTGACGGTGGTTCCAGAAAAGATATAGACGTCTGGACTGCGCGAGACATTGCTCTTAGCTCGCTAAGCCCCTCCTGTCAGTGACAAGCCATTTCATGCACAAGAGGAGACTCACTTTTCCTATATACTCCGAGCTCCAAATTGCCAATTTCTCAACCAGAAGCTCTAGGCGTTCTAGGAAACTGTCTGCGTGAGCCGCAACACACAACAAGTCGTTGCCGGAGTCCTGATAAGCCACTTCCTCGGCGGCTAAAGAACCCCTGCTCTCGATCCAGTTGGGCAAACTCGCGATATTCATAGGCTGAGGGCTGTCATAACTCAGCATGCGGTGGTTGCGTTCCACAAGCTCATCTGTGCGAAGTCAGCCATAACGCCTAGGCCTGTTCCCTTGCAGCTCATCTACGTCTGTATGTGGCATAAATACCACGGACTTGGGATGATGCATACTATAGTCCTTCAGAGTGACTGCAATTTTATCCAAGATCTACTTTCTCTCTGGGTTCTTGTCGCGGCGTTGGCACCCCAGATAAAGGTCTCTTGTTTCCTCTTGATCAACATCATCCAGTCGCTTCTCTAAAACTGAGAGCTGATCTTGTTTGACTAAGAACAGCCGTGAGCAGAGTTGGGAGAACCGCCGTGATATGTGAAAGGGTGCACAAGCGCCGATGATTGTACTGAATTGAGGGTAACCGTTGCGATAATCTTCCACTAATTTGAAATAGCATTAGCAGTCGGTTTTCATATGACTACGAGGATGCTGCTTGCCTTGTTTCTCGCTTTTTGCCACATCTTGTCGAGTTCGCGGGAGAACATTGTTAGACTGTTTGTACAATGATTTAATAGAAGGCATAGAGAACTTACTGGGCTCGGTGGCTTCGAGAGAGCTTGATGGCCCTGCCCCTCATTGAGCACAATCCGAAGTCTTACTCCCAATATGAGCTCACCATTAAAAATGGCTTCTTGGTCAAACTGAGCAGCCATGTTCGTTTAATGTGATGGTAATCCTTTTTGGCTAGACGGATGAAGCTTATGCCTAAGGTCAAAGGAATTTCAGGCTCCAGATCCCACGAGTTGAGCTAACTGCGCGGGAGCTGTGAGGCAACCAATAACGCTGTACAAGCCCGATTGCCATGCATGTGCTGAGTGGCCTACTCAGCTTTTGGGCCTCGTTGGTAGGTTGGGTATCGACCAAGATGTTCGATAGACGTTCGATAGAGCGGAAATTGCATTTCGCTACTCGACCGGATATCAAAGATTTCTTGCGAAGAAAATAGCCAAGGACACCGCCATGAGCTCATCGCCCAGAGACCAAGAGGGGTTCGTCGGACATAGTGCCCGGCAGATTTCTGCACCTGCGGCGTAGAGCTAAACTAATTGCTGTACAGGAATGGAGACAATACTCGGCAAGAGGAGTATCGACACGACTGGCGCCACCAAATCAAGAAGGGTTCAAAGGTACGACCGTATAATCCTCCATACGTAACACCCTACAATATGGACTATCATTGATCGCCTAGATGACAGCCAAAATTCCAAGTCAATCAGAAGGTTTGGTTCGATCCGGGTGGGACGCAAGCACTGGAAGGCCCATACTTGGTCGCAAGCGTGCTGGCGAATGGCCACTTTGCGTTGTGCTATGATGACGGCGAGTACGGGTCGGTCGAGTACGCGCAGGACGTCGAGGCATCACGCCTTAGAGCGGCGTAGAGTGGATTAGTCAATGAGGATGGGAAATGCAAAGTCATTGTAATTATCCAATGTGCAATAGCCTACAATCTCGCACGCTCGTATAGCTATTGTAATGTTTCATCTGTGATCCCGCAACCGGCCTGTAATGATGGATCTGATGGATCCAAACAATAGCGTGACAGGCTAATACCTGCTTACACCTACGACGCGCTCAATTCTTGTCAAAAACCTGAGCGTCAAAAGCTGCAGCAAGGAGGGACTGCTCAGTATCATCTTGATTGACACCAAATTCTCCGGTAACGCACGTCACCGCCGCTACTTCGTACGATGAGTCCACGAATGCGCCAAGCGCTCCTGCGAAGTCTGTAGAATTCTCTGCCCCGTCTGATAGGGTGAAATGGACTTCTTCTCACCATCGTCAAATAGCTTTCCCACCAGCTTCCACAGGCCTATTTCCAGGAGCAGAATTCCGTAGGCGTAGATGTCATGATCCTTGCGATGGTACTTGGAAGGAATCCCTTGTCTGTCGGGATGACGATACACATCAAGTTCGAAATCCTCGACGAAGCGACCGGTTGATGGAGCGGTGCTCTCGCGAGAGTACTCGAATCCACAGAGATATGGCCTAGAGTAGTCGACTCCTTGATCCTCGTCGTAGAAGAATACAATATTATGACTAGCAATGCCCTGATGCACCCACCCCACGAATCGTAGGCGCCTTAGTAATCACTAGTAAATTCTGACACCGGCAGCTGAAGGGGCCCAGCCACAGAGGGGGTGCTTGATAACATAGAGGGGATGCTTGTTAACTAGGGCCATCTATCGAAACAACTTCTCTTTTCCCCATCCAAACGCCTCTATTCCCATAATTTCATCTAAAAAGTCTATACTAGTCTAGAGCGTACTACGCAATGCAATAAAAAAAAAAGGCAAGGAAGAAACCAAAATACGAAGCACATTTCTTTAATTGTCCTCATCGTCGGTATCGGGAGGATGCGGCGTGCCCTTGGGGCTGTTCAGCCAGTCAATGTGGCGCAGGCGCCTGCGGACCTCTCTCTCCTTGAGCTCCTTCTTGGTCATCTTCTTCTTCTTGCGGGCGCGGAACTTCATGTCGGAGTTGTCCTCGACGCCCGAGTTGACGGCGCTGCTGACGACGGAGCTGGCGGCGGTGCTGGCGACGGCGCTGCCGGGGCGCGAGTCCTCGAAGCGGTCGAGGGAGACGGCGGCGTTGGCGCGCTGCGCGACCCGCCCGTCGTTGACGTGCCACTGCTCCGAGCACAGGGCGCCGACAAACTCCTCGTTGTGGGAGATGAGGATGACGCCGCCCTTGAACTCGCGGATGGCGACGGCCAGGCCGCCCAGCGAGTCGCGGTCCAGGAAGTTGGTCGGCTCGTCGAGGACCAGGAGGTGCGGGTTGTTCCACATGGCGCCCGCAATCACCACCTTGACCTTTTGCCCGCCCGAGAGGGAGCCGATTTCGTTGTGGTTGGCGATTTCCGGATCTAGCCCCAGGTCTTCAAAGTGCTTGGAGATGACGGACGGCTGGAGCTCCCGGTAGCCGAGACCTTCGCGGGACGCTTCGTGGTCGTCAAACTCTTGCACGAGCTTGTCGAAACCGAGTTCTGTGAGGGTCTCGCGGGAGACCATGGTGTTGTGCTTGGGGAGGAGGCCGCGCCATTTACTGCAACGCACGGTGTTAGCTAGCTGCTCTTGGTGCGTTCCTATTGTGGGATCGGACAGGGACGGCAAAGGCAAAGGGGCAGAGGTTGCTGAACTTACACTTCGTATTGGAACGTCTTCTTGTACTTTTGACGGCCGACGAGGGATTCGACCTGTCTGGGGGACTTGCCGTCCTTCAAGTCAACCCACTTGTCCATCTGCTCACGATCCTTGTCGGACAAGACACGGGTCTGCTTCATGTGCACCTCTCGGTCATCACCGTTGGCATATCGCCACTGGAGGTACTGGTTGGGCGTCTTCTCGAGATGCATCTCCACGTGTTCGAGCGCATGCTGCTTGATGTAGCCGATACGCAAGTTGGGGTGCTTCTCCACCTTGCCAGAGCCGGGGATGGTTTCGCCGGTGAGCAGCTTGATGAGAGTGGATTTACCTGCACCGTTGGGGCCAATAATGGCCACGCGCGAGGACAAGGTGAGCTGGCATGAGACGTCTGACAACGACGGTTTAGGCGCATTGGGATATGTGTACGAGACGTTGGTCATGCGAATGATGGCACGAGTCATCGACTTGACTCCCGTCAGGATTCCGGGCGGAGGGAACTTGAACTGCACATTGGAGGCGGACAGCGTGTAGTAGGCCTTGGCTTCCGGGCGAATCTTGACAAAGGCAGCCAGGTTGCCCTTATAGCAGGCAAGCTTCTTGTTGGGCTCGTAGTGATAAATATCCGTGGTGACGTTGTCCAGGAATCCAGAGTCGTGGGAGACAATCAGGCTGGTAATATCGGTGTGAGACTTGAGGTAATTCTCCAGCCAAGCAATGTTGGCCACATCCAGATGGTTGGTGGGTTCGTCGAGCAGGAGAACGTCAGCCTTCTTAAGCATGGCACGAGCCAAGGCAAGCTTCATCTTCCAACCGCCAGAGAGGGAGCCGACTTTTTGGGCCTGACGACCCTCGGGACCGGGAGTGAAGCCGAACTCAGTCAAGACTTCAGAGATGCGCTCAGTGCCCTGGGGTCCAATCTCGGGATCCTTTGCGACAAACTCGAGGATGGAAATATCAGCATCTTCGCCCTGGTTATGTTCAACGTAGCATGTGCGCAGAACATCCTGAGGAGGGAACCCCTCAAGCTTGCCATTGGCAATGGATCGCATCAGAGTAGACTTTCCAGCACCGTTGCGGCCACACAGACCGTAGCGATGGCCCTTGAGCAGGCGCAGGTTGGTGTGTGATAGAAGCAACATACCACCATACGCCAATGAAAAGTCGGCATTGACAATCTCGACCTCGCCATCATCCTCCTTCTCGGGAACACCGTACCGGCGATGATCCTCATCAACATAATGCTGCTGAACAGCGTCGGCAATATTCCGAGCCGCCTCGGGCTCCCGCAGAAGGGGCGGCAAGTAAGGTGCAATGCGAGCAGCAATGCGATTGACAAAACGGTAGTTGACATCGGCGGCAACCATATCACTGATATAAGGTCGAGCCAGCTTGTAAATATCCTGCTGGGCAGCGAGACCACCGTTCTTCTTGATCTGCTCGTCCACAATCTTGGCGACATCGTCAAGGGTGGTTCTGGCAATGACCTCCTTGTCGTTGGCCATGGCCTTCTCCATAATGGCGAGAGCGCGCTCAGCAATTTCACGGACTTCAGGGAGCGAAGCACGATCGGCGACAGCCTTGATACCGGGCGAGAGCTTGGGCAAAAATGTTCTAGCCTCGATGGGATCGTGGACCAGCTTGGTCAAGTTCTCAGTAATAACACAGGTCTGACGCAAGACTTCCTGTGCGGTGTTGGGCGAGTTGAGTGAGCGCTCAAGAAAAGGCGTCAAAAGTGCCAAAACAGGCGAGGTCACAATGGCCACAAAGGTGGTCTGGGACAAGGCATGGATAGCCTTTTGAGTAGCTTGAGCCGAGGGGTGCTGCATAGTCTCAATCAGAAGCGGGATCCGAGGAGTAACGTCGTCGTTGGAGAGCAGCGTGGTAAGCGAGTTCATGGTGTGAACAGCCTGCTTCTCAACTTCGGCCTTGAGATCGTGCATGCCAGCCTCGACAATGGGGATAAGCCCGGCAAGCTTGGCGCCCATGGCCTCGCGAAGGACATCCTTCTCCTCAGCCTCCTCCTTGCTGGCGCCAATGGCCAGCTTGGCCTTGTCGGCCATCTTCTGGAGCAGCTTATAAGCGCCAACTGTGCCCTGCCACTTGCCCGTCTTCTTGTCCAAGTATTTGGTCAGGACGGGCAGCAAGCCGGTGACAAGAGCCTCGGGACTCAGGTTATTAAACAGTGCATCGAGGCCATACTGAGCAGCCTCGCGAACGACGGCGCCCTTGTCAGCCAGTGCGTCCAGCGCACAAGGCACAAGGCCCTCCTCCTGGACGAGGAAGACGACCTCGGAAACGGCTTGTTTCGGGGGGAATCGCTCAAAGATGGCGCCCAGTAGGTTCTGACTGCTCTCCCTCTTGAGGCCATTCTTCTTATCAGCAGCAGCCTTCTTGATCTCGGCCAAGACACCGTACTGGTTCAGCCCCGCATAGCCGATCGAGTTGAGGAGCAGCTCGCACAGGCCGTAGCTGGCGTCGACTGAGGCGGCAGAAGTCTGGGCATTGAAGATGGTGTTGATGAAGCCGGCGACGTCCTCCTGCGACGGCGGAGGGGCGGCGTCTTTGGACACCATGGTAGGTGGTGAGACGGGGTGAGGCATCGTGGGCGGCCTCGAGTAGTGTATGTTTCGAGGCAGGGAAATCTTGAAGTAGGAAACCGGCAGATGGTGATGGCTTTCGGTTTTTTTTTTTTGTCTTCTGCCCCTCCTTCAGTCTTGTTGCCGTCTTCTTTGTCGGCGTAACGAGTGAGTGCTTTAGCCGCGAGCGCAAGTGGAATCGTCGCAGTCCACAGGCGCTCTCTCGTGTCCTGCAGACCAAGAAAGAATGAAAGAAAGAAGCAAGGATGGGGAGGAAGAATGTTTGCAAGACAGGGCTACTAGTCAAGCCTTGCTGCAGCGCGCGAGTCTGCTGCTGGCTGCTGAGACGGTGCAAGTCGGGGACACTGCTGTTAACCTAGTTGGGCCGCATGAGCCAGAAATTTTTTGAAAATTTCCCCCCTTGTCCGCTTATCCGCTTATCTACTTTACGCTGGTGCCGCCACCAATTACCGTATGTATGCCCCATCAACCCCATCAAGGGAGTACGTACCTTTTTGCTTTAACGCTCGGACCCTTCCACGTGGGGCAGCTGGTTGACGTCGTTCGAGTGCGTCGCAGGACCGATTACATACATGGCGCTGCCATGTATACGAAAATATATCCTCTTTCGGGTCCATATTGAAGCATTCGCGAAACACACATCATCCACATACGTCAGATCTGGTATTTTCTCGACATCTGCTTTACACCCAGTGGCCCATCGTCCATCCTCATGGCTCACCATATTCTATTTAATCCTCGCCGCTCCCTCCTCCCTGCCCCCTCTCCTCCCCAAATTTCCGCTACATAATAAAAACTCAGGTCGCTGAGGGTATAATAGACAAAACACATTATATGATGATCCCCGTGCCCATCCCGTCTCTTTCATAGACTCCCACCCGCCACGCTCCTCACTCAAATAACAAAAATGAATACATACTTGGCCCATGTTGGCCCATTACCTCCTCTTTCTAGCCGGATTAAAACAACGTCTTGGCAAATAAAGACAAATTAACGAAAGAAGGTTGTAAAATACAGTTGTGCTCGTATATAGGTGCACCAATAATGCAATCATCGTCAAAAAGAAAAAGAAAAGGAAAAGGAAAATTTGGGCACGGTTGCTAAGCGCCACTTATTATTCTCGACTTTCTCCGCGTAGTGTCACCGGTCCCTGAAACCCTCGGGAGCCCGGTGGCACTTCGGCCAGCTCGAGGCCTTGTGAGTTCTTCCGCGTCCGCAGGCTGTAATGTTGCCCAAGGCGCTGATCCCCAGGTCGATACTTGCCCTTGAAGCGATAGTATCCAGGTGATCGAGGACGGCAGAGAACAGCAATCATGTTCTTTAGCCAGTTGCCCTGGCTATAAGCTCTATATCGTTCCTTCTTTGCAAACTTGTGCGAATTAATGTATTCTCGCGTCGTCTCCCCACGAGCCATGAGGAACAAGTGGTAGCCCATCAATCCCCCGGGGTACACAATCGAGAGAACTCCAATGATGGCCAGAGCAAATGCGACCCGGAAATGGTCGATGGAATCGCCAAACGAAATTTTCTCGCGCTTCATATGTATGAGAATTTGTGTCAAGCTGGTGCCGATCAAGTACGCGGCCAAAATCGTGGCCGATGTGACAAATGTAAAAAAGTAGCGGTAGTTGCGTTTGCCAACGCAGTTGTTCAGCCACACGCAGTGGTGGTCGTGCGTCTCGACACAATTATCGCATAGTCGGCAGTGGTGAGCCCGAGGTGGCCGCCAAATATTGCAAGTCCGACAGTGCTTTACTGGAACTTCCATAGCAGCGGCCGAGGATTCAGCCGACTTCACCAAAGTCCAATCGTTGGTTGGCGGTCCCAGTCTAAGAGGGTCATCCTGGTCGGCAACTGGGGGGAATTGATGAAGGTTTCGGGGTAAAATCTGTACTCGATCAGCATCACAATGCAATCACGGCAAACTCTGATCGAAATATAACTCACGCCGGGGTCTGAAACGGAAGCATGAATGAAGGAAGAAAGGCAGATATAGGTCAGATACGCAAACGTGATGGGAATAGCAGGCGAGATGTTGTGCCACAGCCAGGGTGCTTCGAAGCCGTAAAATAAAGCACACGGAATAAGGACAAATGCGCCCGTTGCAATATTGATAGGCGTGTGCCTAGTGTTCTGCCATCTACCGCCAAAGCAAAAGACCGTATTGCCATCAAAGTACTGATGGACACGACCCCGACTCTTTCCTTGCGAGTCGGTTGTTAGGGGCCGAGGTCCTGAGTGCGATTCTGCCCTGGGGAATCGTGGCGATGAAGCCGTTGAGGAGAGCTTCTCGGCACCCGCGGTATCCCTATGCCGACCGGATTGTGCCTGCTCCATCTTTCCCGGCAAAAGAAAACTTGAGCGGAACGTTCTCGTCGACCTAACCGGGCTGGGGAGGTTTGCGAGATCCCTATAACTTTTGTCCACATCAACACTCAATGCCCTATTCCGGTCGGATGGTCCCTGGAGGGGTTGAACACTGTCAGACATGCTAGCCGTGTGATAATGTCCCGTGGTCGGGCTCGCATTGGCAATAAAACGATCAAACGCCTCCTGGTCGGTCATTTCGGTGCCTCGTGACGGCGGGGGGCGCACACTCTGTCCTGCGCTGATTCTGTGCTGTAGCTGAGCAATGTTCTGGGTATTTCCGCCGCCACTCGCTCCGTCGATGAGGCTACCGCCCATGTCGGTTTCATTGTCGTCGAGATTCGCAGGCGGCGGGTGTAATTGCTGGTTCATCGGGACCGGTCTGGCGCCAGCTCCCCGCTGTGCTTGTAGCTTCTGGGAACTCATGGGGCGAAAGAAGGCGCCAGAGGTCAGTGAAGGTACATGACTCCGCGTGGTCAAACTAGGTGCCCGTGCCGAAGCAATTGTGCTTGCAACACTTCCTCTCTTTGGTTGAAGGCCAGGTGCCAGACCCTTCCGCGTAGCTGCTCCTGCCCAGGTAGCCTTGGATGAAGTGCCGGTCCTGGCGGTTTCTGGTCGAGATGGATCGGCATTTTTGGCCCTTGCCTCGCCCCCGTCATCGCTCGCAATGTCGGTCATTCGCGAGGAGACAACACTCGCGGGTCGATGATTACTGCTCCCCCCAGAACGAGGGGGGATGCCACTACTTTCCCCTGGTGACACGGCCCTGCCGGCCGGGTCTTGGGAGCGCATGATGGTGATGCTTTGTGGTCTCGCGATCTCGTCTGTTGGCGCTACAGCATAACCGAATTTCCGTGTCGTGCCACAAGAGGCCCAATATCGATGGCTCAGGTTACCAGGCGGGCACGGCCGTGGCTGTAGCACAAACCCAAGGCCGGCCACTCAAATTCAGAGAGTATAAGTTGTGTCCGGCAAAGTGTCGCGATACGCGGCGGATCAATTCAAGGGGAGAGGGGATGATTAGGTTGGTCGAGAAGAGTCGGGGGGTTTGTCGAGGGAGCAAAGTAGGTCGTGATGCAACGGTTGGCTGGATAAGAGAGCATCGAAAGGGAGCGACACGAAGAAAGGTGCAGATGTGACAAAAGGAAGCACGGAGTAGCAGAGGGTGAGAAAAGGCGCGGGCGGCGCAGGCCGATGGATGATACGTCAAAAAAGAAGAAAAAGACAGGCTCACGACGATGTGCGTGTCAAGGATGCCAAGGATGGCAAGGAGTGCCGAAGAGGAAAAGAGGCCAAGGCGACGATGGAGAGACGGCAGGCTTGTTCCTTTTTCCGCGCCACACCAAAGCCAGTGCGCCGCCTGCTAGAGTTCCAAAGTTGGCAAGCAGCCGGCCGATTGGCGGGAGACGGAAGCTGAGATGTCGACTGGTTCCCTTCTCTGCGACCACGCCGGGGATGTCCATGCATTGGTCCCATGTGTGATGTGGTTAAGGGGGGACCCAGCATTGATCCAGGCCAAGCCAGGCAAGCAAAAGCACCAGACCAGACCAGACCAGACCAGGCCTGTTGACCTTGAGCCCGGCACCCATGCAGCCACAGACTAGCCATCACACAGTCAAAGCGTCACTTCAAGACTCCGCACCGAGAAAATACTGTAGTCCGTCAAACGAGATACCCCGTATTGGTCATGCATAATACATACTCGGATCATCCGGCCCCGTCAATACCAAAATCGCAATCGGCACTCAGGCTGTCGAAGATGCATCGTCCGGGGATCAGGGCAGCATCAGGACAGCATCAGGACAGTGACCTCGTGCATCATCCCTCATGATGCCGCCGCGTGTACGGAGTACATGGCAAGCACATCGGCCTGCCCGTGCGCAAAACAGCCGTCATCTCACGGCCAAGCATCAAACAAGAAAAGAAGACAAATCATTAGACACCAAAACACACATCGCAAATGCAAAAAAAAAAAAGTGGCCATGACGTCTTGCGCCCAGTCAATCCGTCACTAAGCCCATCCAGCCCGTGCTTCCATGAAATCATAGCTACCAGACTTCCTCCAAAAAAGGAACAAGAACAAAAAAGAAAGCAAATCGTGCTCCCCACGTGACATGCTCCCCCAGGTCCTCCCCCATTGACCAATAGCATCTCTCGCAAGCTGCGTGCTGAAATCATACGACCGCCCGAACGCACCCGGGCCGGTTTCCCCAAGGCCAAACTAAAGCTCTCTGACTGACCTCACGGCTTTTCTTGCCTTCCAACCTCCACCCACGTTCCCCGGCCTCGTCACCCCAACGCAAAACCTCTGCACATCAACACCGCAACAATGGCCTCCCAGATCCCTCGCCGCCTATTCAGCACTACCGCCCGTCGCCTGCAGTCCAACGGCGACCTGAAGAGCGAGTCCAAGCGCAACCCCGAGCTTATGGTGCGTCCTCGACCATAGCTGCAAAAAGCCCGCAGCTCAATTCTCCGGGAAAGTGTGCACAACAAGGCAAATCAAACTAACGTATGCAAGATCCTCGGTGGTGTCATGGTCGCTGCCCTCGGCGGAGCCGGCTTCTACTTTGGTATGTCCTTTCTCCGGCCCCCGGTCTCATGTTAAAAGAAAAAAAAGCCAATGGACAACTCCGTACACATTGCTAAATATACCAACCGGCAGGCCGCTCCCCGACAAAGTCCACCTCCGAAAGCCCCGTCACCATCGCCAGCAGACCCTGGGAGGGCGAGGGCGAGGGCAAATACAAGTACCACCCCGGTGGTGATGTTTCCAAGGAGCCCAAGGACGCCCCCAGCGCCCTGAACGTCGTCGTCGTGCCCAACGTCACGCTGCCCGCGGAGCTGCATGAGAAGTACAACAAATGGGGCAAGGAGGGATATCCCTAAACGGGCTGTGTGTTGAGCACGTGTAAAATTGAAAGAGGAGGAAGGAGCGGTAATCAAGCGTACAGAGAAAGGAAAAAAAACCACCAGAAAATACGGCAAAAAACTTTTTCGCATGGGGGCGATTGACAAAAGAACCGGCAGGCTACATTGTATTTTGAAAGGGTGGCGTGTAGTTTGTCCATGTAAAGGTAGTAGTGCGAGTTGAGCATGGAACGAGCAACGGGTATCCGAACCGTTTCAATATACAACTTTTTTATATTTTCATGTCCTCGACCATGTTCTGCGGACTGTTGCTTGCCTTAGGATAGCCCAACTTCAGAGACGCTATTTTCTCATGATGCATTATAAGCGCCGCAATTAACCATGCCAATCACAAACACCTGGTTATCAAATAACTCCCCGAGTTCCTAATGCGCGCCCTCCCTTCCCCCCTTTTCCTTTATCTTCTCAACCAACGCGGCACATCAGCACGTCTTTTTTTTTGACGCTTCATTCAGACAACATCTGAATCTCCTCGGCCGTAAACCCAAACAGGTACAGCAAATCCAGCAAACTCTCCGAATTTAACCTCGCATCGGCCTCCATCTGCACCCGCGGCTTCGCATTCCACGCTACTCCCAACCCAGCTTTGCCCAGCATTAACAAGTCGTTGGCGCCGTCGCCGACAGCCACCGCCTGTGACAGGTGAATATTCTCCTTGGCCGCAATCTCAACGAGGAGGTCACGCTTGCGCTCCTTGCCGACAATCTTGCCCACCGCTTCCCCCGTCAGCTTGCCATTCTCAACGACAACCTCGTTGGCGAAAGCGTAGTCAATGCCCAGCTGCTCAGCCAGCCAACTGGTAAGAGGCTGAAACCCGCCCGAAAGCACCGCCGTCTTGACACCCAGTCGCTTGAGAGCCCTGATGAGCTCCGGAACACCCTTGGTGACGTCGAGAACAGGACGCAGGTCGTCTAAGACGGTCGCACTAACACCCTTGAGAAGGGCAACTCGTTCACGGAACGAGGCTTCAAACTCCAACTCGCCCAGCATGGCTCGGTGAGTAATATCCGCCACCCGAGCCGCCAGATCCGCAGGGTCCTTGATCGTCTCGGCCATGAGCTCAATCACCTCTTGCGTGATGAGAGTGCTGTCCATGTCGAAGACGACCAGGCGAGGGTATCTTCTCCAGACGAGGTCCGGCTGCAGCACGACGTCGACGTTCCACTCCTGCTCGAAACGGTAAATCATTTCATGCTTCCGCAGGTCGGACAGGATGAGGCAGTCGGGCGACGGGGCCGGCGAGAGCGTGAGCTCTACAATCCGGGGCGTGTCCGGGTTATCGAGGCAACGGTGTGACGAGTGCGGTTCGTCGGCTCCCCGGGGCTGAGGAAACGTCGACATGAGGTGCAGGAAGGACGCTATGCAGAGGGGCGAAATGTACGAGCCGTAGATGTGGTCCAGCTGCTCTGCTTCCTGGGTCGGAGGCTCCAAGGGGAAGGCATCCATGTTGGTGGTCGGCGCCATGTTGGGCGGCAGCGTCTCATTGCTCTCCGACAGGCCGGTGGATCTCGTGGAAGCAGACGCAGAGCTGGGCGAAGAGCCCTTGTAGAATAACGTCGCCACCAGGCGATCCGACTTGTGTCCCGGCGGCGGTGCGCAGTTGGGGTGCGACAGGCTGTGGCTCACTCCGCTCTCGACTATGGTCGCGGGCATATCGTCCTGCGGCACGCCTCGGAAGGGCAACACGGACTTGGGGGAAGACGGCTTGGACGGAGAGCTGCCCTCAACCACCTCGTCGATGCCATGGTACGTCTCCGGCTTCTTCGGCGGTCTGTACTGCTGGTGATCGCTCAAGTAGGAGCTGCTGCGGCGCATCTTCTCCATCTGCGGACGGTCCGCAGACTGTTTGCGTCGGGCGGTCTCAGCCATGACTGTCGGGCCAAGATGCTGAGAGAGGCTGCCACGACGTTTCTGATGGCAGCGACCGAAATGTGACTGGGCCCAAAGGTATGTGTGCGACGTCGGCGTACCAGCTGTCAAGTCCAGGCACTCAAGGCTGGTTGCTCTTTCCCCCGGCAAGCGTCAAGTCCAGCAGCCTTTTTTAAAAAAAAATCTAATATTTTTTGGGACTCCCGGACTCCAGAAAAGCGCTCACGAGAAGAGCGATTCAATGCTCACGGTGAGGCAATTGTGAGCAGGCACGAGGAGAATACTAGACTCTGATGAAACCAAGGTGGTTGTGGCAGCACCACATGGGGGAAAAAAAGGTGATGCGGCTTGTCTTGTAAGGTTGGCTTCCTTTGGGCCACTTGAACGCGCGCGCCCCGCAGCCGTTGAACTGACAGGAACAAGGAGCAAGGGGGGTCAAACGGTCAACCAGACTCTTCACAATATTGAGATATGACCTCAAGTGCTGCGCAGGCGGGCGATGGCTGTCGGTGATTGGCTGTGGGTTGCCGGTGTTACCACACCCAGCTGCGACCATACAACTCCAGGCACATGTGATGGTGATGAATTATTGCAAGCTGCTGATTGAGCGTAGATACCAGGTCTTGCTTGTGCGACTCGGTGCTGGCCCAGCTCGGTACTGCTGGTTCAATTGAATCGAAAGGGGTTTCAAACATCTCATACGGACCCAGAAGCGTCTCTGGTAACTTGCAAATTCTGTGCATCGTCGTCGATTCGTCCATCAGGGGACATGCGTCACGCCTAAGCCCACAAAGATTAAAGTGACTGACAGCAACCACGCCTGACGCCGCACTAGACGCTTTTCGGAGCAAATTCTCCGCAAACCAGAGGGCGATAGGGCATGAAACGGATGGGTATCAATACGGGAATCCAGCACAATATACGGGCTCCAGAGGACCTAAGACGGAGTGTGCTGTTAAATCATGGGCTAATCATAGTAGTTAACAAGTGCGTTTTTTGCTCACCAAGGGTTGGGGTTAGGAGTAATCGTGTCTAACCACGTACTACTCCGTACTCCGTACCGACTCCCACTCTATCAACTACCCTAGACATAAACATCCGAGTCTGCACCAACACCATCACTGGCACATCGCGACCCCCATTCTTGCACGCCAGAGCAGCAAGCATACACCGCAAGCAAACATGGTCTTAAAACCCCACAATGAGCTCAACTCGCGAACTCAGCTGCATCCGTCTGCGGACTAGTGCTCGCGCTCCGCCTGGATCCAGCCCCCACAGCAAAGCAATGAACGTCATTTTGCCCGCGGCGCTCGGTGCCATGCGCCGACTCCCGCACGAGTCCCGACGAGCCGAAACCTGGGTCTCTCCGACATCCCACTGGCATGAACCTCTGGTGTTAGTGAGGCATTCGGCGTGACCGTGTAAGAGCATAACGAGCTTGTCCTGTTTACAAAACTTGGCAGTCTTGCACTCGGACGGGTGGCATCTTGTTTTCCGACCCGGTGTTTGTACGGCTCAGGGCATCAAGTTTGATTCGGAGGATGCGGCACATGTCAGGCAGCCTCAACTGCTCAAGTCCTTGGTCGAGTGCTGCAATGCCGCACGCTACTACGGGGCCATATTCTACACGAAAAGAATTGAACGAAAATAAAAAAATAATCGTGAAATACCCTAGTTGTTGCGGTTTTTATATTACTCTCTCCATCTTCTCCACGACGGGCCTCGTTTTTTCTGATTCCATTCGCGCCCTGCTGGACGTCTTGACACTGTCACATTCCCTTCCTCCACCCGCATACACAATGCGGTGAATCATTAAGACGGCGTGTACTTGCTCTTTTTCATCCTCGGGTGATGAGATCATTACGACGGCCGTCCAAGGACGCCATGATTTCTCATCCGTCTATGCTCGCCCCAGAAAAATTAGAACCGGGGACACCATTAGTACAAGGTACCTCCTGCTTGGTTGGGCGGCCACGTTCAGAACATAGTACCCACTACAAAATGCGAGCCACTCCCGTCCGCCCACCAGCCAATCATGCCTCGCCATTTAACATCGCGGAAGCAATGGCGTCGATGTCGTGATCGCTCCCAAACGCAAACCGGACGTTTGGTCTCCCTTGGGGCTGGCAGGTCGAACGACAAGCCAAAGCATTGCTCGGACAAGTAGTCGAAAAGTGTATGATGTGTGTTTCGAGAAAGCAATTGCACCACGCAATTAGTCAGGGCGGAAGACACCACCCCCCTTCCTCCGCCTGAAATCACACACATCCTCGGACTTAAACAACCTTGGAATCTTCTTCCTATAGCCGAACCCTCTTCTTACATTTCCCTTTCATTCCATCTTTAGAAGGTGTTGCCGTAATACTGTCTATTCGTCAACATCAGATTCATTCTTATAATCTCCACATCTCTCCTGCCAGTTGAAGGGCCCATAAAGAGAGAATACCTGAGATATAAGCAAGCGTCGGTCCCTCGGCAAGCCTTTTGTTCACCACCACCAGAGGCACACCAAGGATTCTGTCCTCCTTAAACTCTGCCAGTCATAGAGAACACTTGGGTTCTATACGCGACATTGCAGCACACAACCATGCCTTCAGTCATGTCAGAACCCGTCTCTCGCTCGTCCCCAGTTGACGAGAAAGTCGAGCCCGAATCAGGATATGCCTCAGGGCAGTCCGACTACTCGCCCGAGGAGGAGCCCTCCCGACCAGATATCTCCCTGACAAAGGCCCACGTCGAATACCTCAACAAGCAAATGGAGCCCATGCACCCGATGGACATCCTGCGCTTCTGCAAGATCCTGTTCCCCAACCTCTTCCAGTCAACGGCGTTTGGGCTCACGGGCCTCGCCACCATGGACATGCTCTCCAAGATACAGGACGAGAACCCAGAGTCCAAGCCCGTCCAGCTCATCTTCCTCGACACCCTGTACCACTTCAAGGAGACGCACGAGCTGCTGGAGCGCGTCAAGGCGCGCTACCCCAACGTCCCCGTCAACGTCTTCAAGCCCGACGGCATGGACACGGTCGAGCAGTTTGAAGAGACGTACGGCCAGGAGCTGTGGAACACGGCCGACGAGATGTACGACTGGATCGTCAAGGTCGAGCCTCTCCAGCGGGCATACCAAGAGCTCAAGGTGACGGCTGTCCTCAACGGCCGCCGCCGCTCCCAAGGCGCCGCCCGGGGCTCCATCCCCATCATCGAGCTCGACGAGGAGCGCAACGTCATCAAGATCAACCCCATGGCCACCTGGTCCTTCGCCCAAGTCAACGACTACATCAAGGAGCACAACGTGCCCTACAACGCGCTCCTCGACCAGGGGTACAAGTCCGTCGGCGACTGGCACTCCACCTCCCCCGTCAAGGAGGGCGAGGATGAGCGTGCCGGCCGCTGGAAGGGCAAGTCCAAGACCGAGTGTGGCATCCACAACAAGAAATCCAGATACGCCCAGTTCGTTGCTGAAATGGAAGCAAAGCAAGTTGCTCCCGTCTCGTAAGAAAAAAAAGTGCCGCCTTGAACCTACGGCATCTACACATACAACAGTTTTTTTGCGTGTGCGTTTCTCGCAGCCATCATTGCCAGCAAAACCATTTTTTTCTCTCTTAATGATTCAATGAATTTTTCCCGCGCATCAAATAAAAAGGAGTTGGGGTGGCTGCTTCATCAGGCACGCACATTCTGCTTGGATGACCGTGTTTTTTTCGGGTTTTTTTTTTTTTCGTCAAGATACATTGACCAAGAGTGTATCTGGCCCGGCGTCTGGAGCAAGGCAGCGTGCGTGGAGTGGAGTTTTCGACGGAGGAAACTATGCGTGCATAATAGTTAGCGCAACATAGAATGAAAAAAATCAAACAGAAAATCGTAAAAAAAAAAAAAATACGTCTCATTAGCCGTCAAAGTCCCCGTGGGCGTTTGT